TCCCTCTCCGGGCGCCGGCGTCCCGTCCATCACGAGGCGCCGAGTTGACTCGTGAGGCCTCTGGGAAGAGGCGTCTTTCGTTTCTATCCAAAGTCATGCTGACGTTTTTGTCAGAAACCTCATTTTTAGATGCTTTTGTGGGCGTTTGTTCTATGCGTCGCTCTCAGCCATTGGAACACGTTTCTGACAATGTCCCCTCTGTCCCTGCAGACGGGGCGGCGGGGCTTGCACAGGTGCGTGTTGGGTCCCGCGTGTGGAGGTGAAGGTCGCGTGTCCTCACCCCGATGGAGACGGGGGGCAGGGCCAGGAGGCCACCAGCGCTCACGCTCCCGGGACACACACAGGTGCACACGCTCGGCAAAGAGGCTCCAAAACTGCGGTTAGTCAGGAAAGCCAGAGCCCAGAATTAGTCTCACCTGGGACAGTCGGCAGCCCCATCTGCATCCAACGAACCAGCTCCTCAACCAACTGCCCAACTCATCAGGTAACTAACCAGCTCATCAACCAACTACCCATCTCATCAAATAACTAACCAACTACCCAACTCATCAGGTAACTAACCAACCACCCAACGCATCAAGTAACTAACCAGCTCATCAACCAACTACCCAACGCATCAAGTAACTAACCAACCGCCCAACTCATCCACATAGTTTCATAACCAACTATATTAATATATATTAATCCTCACTCGAGGATATTTTTTCATTGATTTTTAGAGCGAGTGGGAGAGAGAGAGGGAGAAACAGAGAGAAACACATTGATGGGCTGCCTCCTGCACGCACCCTGACCAGGGCCCGGGCTGGGGAGGAGCCTGCAACCAAGGTACGCGCTCTTGACAGGAATCGAACCCGGGACCCTTTGGTCCACAGGCCGACGCTCTACCCACTGAGCCACACCGGCCATTACGCGTATTAGCTCAGCCCAATGGCTGTAACGAGCAGCACGAACCCGTGGCCGCACACAATAGATGCGTATTTCCTGCTCGTGGGTGTCCTGCGACGGGCCTGGTTGGCAGGGCTCCTGGCAGCCATCCCAGGGCCAGCTCCTGCACCCAGCGCGGCCCATCTTCTCAGACGGGGCGCCCGCCGGACTCCCCACATCTGCGTGGCTACAGGGGAAGAACCGTTTGAAGACCTCCTGGGGGCTGGAGGGGCCGCGTCCACAAGGGGCGGTCTTCCTTTGCACACCTCCCGTGGGCCCCAAAGGGGCGACAAAGCATCACTCCGATGCCCAGGGAGGGCCCAGGGGACGATGAATTCGCTCGGTGAAAGCGTAAGCGACTTCTCTGCATCAGGGGTAACGCTTGCCCCGCACAGAATGCGTCAGAGCGGCCGGGGGTTTCGTCGATATATTTCATCTCATCCTCACAGTCGTGGAAGGAGACAGAGGGGAATCCTCCTGCGGAACAGAAAACGGGGTTCCTTTTCTGGCGAGAGGCCCGACAGCCACCGAGAGCTGGAGCGAAGCGCTGGCTTCCTGCCTTCCCCTCTGACGCCTGCCTTGATTCATGACGTCTATTGTCCGTTAGAAACGCTGTTTAGATGGAAGTAACAGCCTCCAGAAGAAAGATGCTTAACCATGAGAGACCTGAGTTACTCATTACCCACAAGCGACAAAATAATGCACGTCTAGCGTTTCCTGGGTGAGGCATTGTTCCAAGTGCTTTTATAGTTGCAAACGCTTTAATGGTTAGAGCTACTTTACTAGGTGTTCACCGCCATCATCACCATAGTCATCACCACCATCACTATCATCCCCAACATCTCCATCACCACCATCACCATCACCACCATCACCACCATCACCATTACCATCACCATCATCACCATCACCACCATCACCACCATCACCACCATCATCATCACCACCATCACCACCATCATCATCACCACCATCATCATCACCACCATCACCATCACCATCACCACCATCATCATCACCACCATCACCACCATCATCATCACCACCATCATCATCACCACCATCACCATCACCATCACCACCATCATCATCACCACCATCACCACCATCATCATCACCACCATCATCATCACCACCATCACCATCACCATCACCACCATCATCATCACCACCATCACCACCATCATCATCACCACCATCATCATCACCACCATCACCATCACCATCACCACCATCATCATCACCACCATCACCACCATCATCATCACCACCATCATCATCACCACCATCACCATCACCATCACCACCATCATCATCACCACCATCACCACCATCATCATCACCACCATCATCATCACCACCATCACCATCACCATCACCACCATCATCATCACCACCATCACCACCATCACCATCACCACCATCACCATCACCATCACCATCACCACCATCACCACCATCTCCATCACCACCATCTCCATCACCACCATCACCATCACCACCATCACCACCATTACCGTCATCATCATCATCACTATCACCATCACCACCATGACCACCATCACCATCAAAATACCACGTGCGGGCGCACGTACAGTGCGATTGAAACTCCGTGGCCCAGGCGCAGACGTCGGTATTTTGTGGAAGAGCCACGCTCCAGGGGCCAAAGAGCCGCGTGTGGCTCGCGAGCCGCAGTTTGCCGACCTCTGGGCTGACAGCGTTGGTGCATAAAGAGAACGTCCGTGAGATCGGTACGTATGGAGGCAGAGTCCACAACACATCCTGCCGGTAATTATATTTTTAAATTCTTGTTAAAATTTTTTTAAAAAGTTGATTGCTCTCAAAGAAACAAAGCGTCTACGAACACAGGGCGGACGGTGGTTTGCTGCCAGCGTTACCCGTGGCCGGAGAGGGGTCTACTGAACGAGTACAGAAGGCGTTTCACGTGAACGTCAAAGGCGCCTCCACATTCGGCTCCCGCTGCGCTCAGCAGTTACTCATCGCGTGACTCACAAGCCGGTACCTGAGGCTCCGTGAAGCGCTGGGATGGGAGCGAGGATCTCGGGTCCGTCCGCTGCACGGTGACTATTACAGCCGCACCAGGTACCGCGGTTCTCAACCTTCCCGAAGCCGCGGCCCCTTCACACAGCTCCTCGTGCTGTGGGGACCCCCAATGTCACTGTTACAAATGGAACGTAATGAAAGCATAGTGATTAATCACAAAATCAATATGTAATTATATGTGGAGTCTAACAGGCTACGGCTGGTCCAGTCGCCTGTGGTTTCTCTTCTTACAAAATCCAGGTTGAAACGGGCCACAGGCCCGGGCTGTGGGTCCATCCCCAGTGGGGGGCGTGCAGGAGGCAGCCGATCAGTGATTCTCGCCCCCCATCACTCAGGGAAACGGCTTCAGAGCCATTGGGGGACACACCCTTTTGCTGCAAAAGGACAGAGGAGGATCCAGACGCTGCCGTGGCGTGTAGGGGGGGGTGGGT